GAAACATATGCGATGTTCACTGGGGACTTGTGCTACACATTCTCATTGAGATACGACCAGGGAATTGTTTCTATTTTTTTATTTTTTTATTTCAACTCAAACTGTAATGCTTCAAAATTTTTCAAAAGTAGAGGCTCTTTAAAGAATTGGTTTGGCGACCTGTGCCTGAATATCTCTTTCCTGTTGCTGCAATAATTTTTGATACGCAGAACTGCCGATGATTTTGTATTCTAGCACATTTGATTACGCGATGATCATTTCCAAAAATTGTTATATTGGATCAAGCTTGGATTTGAATATTTAGAACTCTTGAAACAATCCAATACAAACCTGATGTGTCAAGTATACGCTTGTATGGGGATCTGAAGGTTTCTTCGGGACGTCGATGCGATTTTTCGCTCTCTTTTGTTTGCAATATCGTCAGATGAGTGTCAAACTTTTATGAAAAACGAGGCGGTCTAGGCGATGGTATCCACCTTGTAAAGCTTGCTTTGCTCTGTCGAATGAAATCCCAAACCGCACTGAATAAAAAAAGATGAGAAGACCACTTACTTGACCAAAGATATTTTAGCTGACTGGGACAGAGAACAACGTTCTGAATCACCTAAAGTACGGACGTGCTGTAGTACATGCGTACCTGTAGACAAGCTGTAGTTACTCATGTTGTTTCTATTTATAGAATCTATCAAGCAGTCGCTTGCATTTCTAAACTGACAACTAATTGGTTCATTGGTGAAACACTTGCGCTTGAGGGCTGTGACAAACTGTGATGGATCACGTGTTTGAATTAATGGTCAAGATATATCCAGAACGCTATTTGTGATTTCTGTTGCAGTACTATGTGCTGATGTGTGAAGCCGAAATCAGCATGCTGACGTTTCCAACGGTCGTCGACACCAGATGGCATACTACCCTCGCGGCTTACAAGCACGATTTCTCCCGAAGCTTTTCATGCACTTTGTTTCCCATGAATGGCGTTATCTAGTGAACTCATCATTACAGAAGCGCAGCGTTTGGGCGATGGAGAAATAAAACAAGTATAAAGGGCAACGGTTGAGCAGCCAGCTTCTTCATTGCCATCGGTTGGAGTTTTCGACACGTTTTTAACGCACAATCCCTTTTACTCAACTTTACTCTTGCCATTTCAAACGCGCATCGCTTTCTGATCCAATTATGGCCGATTTAGGAATGGATTGGCTGTGCACAAACTCAACGGTAATACGCGCTAACAGAGATTGATTAGCACGATGATCAGCCCTCGTCAGATTTTCTGATACATCATGAATAAAAGGCGTACAGGTTTGCTCCAGTGATAGTGTAGTTTTATATACTCCAAACTAGGAGTCACGCAATCATCC